AGTACATAGAAAAATTGGCTAACACCGTTTAAGCCAATATTTTCTAATATGCCCAATATTTTTCTTATTTGGGTATCATATAGAAATTGGTTAATACACCTTAGGGAATTTTCTATACTATGCCAAATATTTCTCAATATTGGGTATTGTAATGCCTATGTATCCCTAATAAGCATTTTTAATGACATATTGGGCTCTTCACAAGACTTGTAATTTTCCATAATTTTACTGTTTTCTACAAATATGTAGGCTTGGACCGTTGAAGTTAGAAGGCCATTTTACAGACTACTTGGATATTCCCCATGTTTTTGGTAGGTACTCACAATCCGAGGATTATGTCACTATCTAGCTACTTGATGTTATTGTCTAAAGACATTAGTTTCCTTCTCTTTCATTTGAAGACTATTATTGTATAAGCCTATATGTGGCTTTTGTTGTAATAGAGTATGGGCTATGCCTGAATTTTCTACTCATTTTAGATGACTTAAATATGAGACAAAGTATTAGACTAATTTCTATATATATTGTTTTGTCTAAATGAGACGTCTATGTATGCTTCATATGCGAGGAGTCTAAGTAAGCTCCACATATAGTATGTGAGATATGTATATAAACATCACAATATAGTTTTATATGAAAAGTATTAATTTTCCTCACTTTTTAACCTATAAAAAGTAATGATGAATGCTAAGAGGTCAGTCTTAGTCCTTTCCGAGGATAAGCACGCCGATTACGTCTTGGGGGTGCTCCCCGGTCGTGACATATACACGACATACGAGTATATGAGCATACCATGCATAATAAAATAGTAGGTGGCCAAATGTCAGCCATGGAGTTTATTTAAGTTTTAGTTCCAGGTGGTATCTCTATTACCCTTTTACGGTAAATATTTATGATTTTATTTTTTGCTTTATATACCAGTATATTTTTATTCGTACTGACATCCCTTTGTCTGGGGAAGTTGCTTTATGTTTCATGGGTACAAGAAAGTACTCTAATCAATCCTCCCACTAGGATATAGGTTCATAATAAGTTGGTAAGGTCTATCTTATCCTGCGGCTATCAGAGGATGTTTACTTTTGTTGTACAGTTTGGGTACAGTTGGGTCCTTGTCCCTGCAGTGCTTATATCACTCCTAGAGGATACTATGGACAAAATATTTTTTGTTTTCATTTATATGTTTCAATCTCCAACCCATATCTTGGCATGTATCTATATGTTTGTGTAAGTAGAAATGTCTTCAATTGTGGCCGAGTCGGCTAGCTAGTACATCTTTATTTTTTTGTCCTGCTTGCCATTATTCATATGATTCATTCTCATTCAGGTTATGACCTTCAGGGTCGATGATTTACTTTTTAGAGGTTGTGCTTCCCTTTAGTATGGTTATCTAGTATATTTTAGTGAGTAACTTGTTCTAATTACACCCCCTACTTTGGGGCGTGACATTACCAATCAATAAGAATTAATCATTACATGCTTGAAATGAAAATTCTACCGTGTTATTAAGGTGAATTAACTTAATTTGATTATCAAAGAATTGTGCCATTAATTGTATTTGCTATAGAATGTGTCTAAATTGCACTAATTCTCATCTAATACAAGCAAGCCAGAAGATAAAGTATGAACATTTTCTACCCAGGACTTTTGGAGATAGAAGAAAAGATGAGTTCCTAAATATAGAACAACATAAGATAATTGTTGCAGACTATGAGGTCAAATTTTGTTTTTTATCCAAATACGCGACTCAAATTTGTTTGTCCTAAAAAGAGGATTTGTTCCTTTGTGAAGGGATTGACGTCAGATGATTCAAGCTTTATATGTTGTTGTTTAAAGAAAAAAAAATTACGAACAGGTTTGATTATATTATAGAATTAGAGAGGGTGAAGCATGATGACTTTTTCAAGGTTAAAACATCCAAGAAACTTCATAAAGGACGAAAATATAATTAATATCATTACATTGAAAACTAAAGTTAGTAAAGTTTTGAAAAAATGTATGGGTTGCTTGGAAAATGTTGAAATTATGTGGCACCAATTGAATCAGAATTTCTACTAGGATTTTATAGAGTGTATCAAAAACAGTCATGCTCCTACCACTACAACATTACCGATGCTTGCTTGGCTAGAGTTATAAAGTGTATTACTCTTTGTATCGACCTAGTGTAAGAAATAACACATATCACTTAGGATAGAGATAGAACATGTTTGTCAATGTTTTGTAGTTACTAAATGAATAGAAATGTATGGCCTGTTAAAATATGATCTTCTCGATAGATATGATATGTTATAGTGAGGAATCTAATAGACTTTCACGGTTGTGATACTAGTGTTATCTGTAAAAGAATACATTGATTGTTAAGTGTGAATACTAACTACTTGAGGAGTTATCAATTTTATGACATGTTCAGATAATGTGATTCAATGTTGCATTAATATTTGAGAAATCAACTAGTTTGTTACTACGGACGATTGGCTTAAGCATTATTCTAAAGAAAAAATTTAGTGGTGAATTAGTACGGTACTCATGAATTTAGATTGTGAAGTGAATTTTGACAATTCTAATACATGACTGGTGATTTTATCGTAAACTCTTAAGGAGTGGATTGACACAGGAAGGATAAGATTATGGGTAAAGAAGTCCAGTGAGAATACTTGGGTGAAAGAAATTGAATATTTTAGTATGAAATTAATGTGTGGATAAAATTGAGTTAGTCTTTTGTTTATGATTGGTAAATCTGAGTTTGAGGTGTTATATCGATGAAAAGATTGACTTTTTGGTGATGACAAGGTTAACTGAGCATAGTGGTAATAAGAGTTCATGATGTATTGTCATTCGAAAGCAACTATATAGAAAAGATTGTTGGTTCAACCAATTTGAATCGTAATAACTACTTACAAGTATCTTAGGTTGGGGTTTTCTAACATTTGGTGAGTAACGTGGTTGAAATTATTTTGTGTTTTCCTTTCGAGTGCAGTGAGTGTACATGTTGTCCTGTTTTGTTTTCCTCTGTTTTCCATTTGTTGTGTTCAGTGAGTGTACCTGCGACTTTCACTCACCCTCAGATCTAGCTAGTCTCTAGCATTCAGGTTTCAGGGTGAGCTATTCATTCTAGCTAGTGTTGGATTCTCTTTGTCATGTCATAATGTCCTTAGTTTTTTGGCAGAATCTAATTTCGTTATTTTATTGTGTCTTTGATACTCTTAGACTCAGTATTTGGATATTAGACGTCCTTGATAGGATGACATTCAGGTTTTGGATAACGAAATTTAATAGACAATTATTTGTGTTTTTTACATTAATAAGATTTAATCTTCCGCTCTAGGGTTAGTATTTTGTAAGTTAAACATTTAATATACATTAGGGTTGAATTTATTGATTCTCCCACCTAGGAGGATAAGCATGGGTACCACTCATGACTCATTTTGGGTCGTGACAAACCCAAGCCAGCCCATTATTAGAATCTGGTCCGGCCCATTTGGCCTGACAAAATTATCCTTATCTTACACGAATCAAACTGTTTCCAATATGTTCATTGTTCTGTCCAAGACCGGTCCGACTCATTAATGGAGGAACCGGGTTTCCCCAGTTTTGGAATTCAAAACCAAAGTTCCTACCCGACAGGCATTCGTCATGATTGGACAAATATGTATACAAAATCACAAAGCATATTAAATTTCACCATGAAATCTATCTAAGAATATTATAAATTCATCTTTAATCATTCTAGCTTGATTATATTATATTTCGAATCAGACCGCGTACTTATCAACAATTTGGTGGGAAGGAAACTTACCTCACATAAAAACTTTCCCATGTCAAAATTTCTTAAGTCATTAAACCCAACAAAATCGAATAATCTATACGGTTGGACACTCGTGATAACATTTTATGAAACTAAGTAAAAGAATCATTTGGCTGAAGGAAACTTACCCAACATTAGAATTTCCCCATACAAATACTATATTAACAATGAGAAGAAAGTGTAGGGAGTACGTAGTAGAGATAAGACTTATTATTTGAGGTGATTTACAATGAAGAGACCCTCTATTTATAGGAGAAAATTTATTTGATCCCAAAGTTAGGGTTCCTAAATTTTCTTTATAAAAAATTTATAACACAAGCTTGTATTTTTTGGCAATTGTAACTTTGGTTCAATAGGTAAAAGTTCATGTAATTTTTTGCTAGCAAGATAGTTTTATAAATTTGATAAAAAAAAGAACCTCATAACTATATAACAATTTATCAAATTTCTCCAAAAAATATTTTCAAAAGGTTCCAAATTCTCTAAAACTTAATTAAATTTGCAATAGTCTTCTAGCTATAACCCCTTCACAAAGTTTGACCAAGTTGAGCCCTTTATGATAACACTTCTATATTTTATTCACATAACAGTTTTGGTCTCTTACTCAATTTTGACATAATATATAGCCTAGTTAAGTCCAAGATTATTCCATCTTCAAAAGTCATCATCACCTTTTTTTGAGAAATAACAAAACATAATTTTTAGCACACAATTATATAAATGATTTATTTTAGAGGGGAAAAATGAATTTATTTAATAAACATCACTTAAAATTTATCAACGTTGGTAAAATTTATCAAGTATGCATTTTACACTAAATTATATGACGTACTTTCACAGAAACAGACAACTTATTTTCGATTAATAAAATTAAAATAATTTAACAGTTTTAAAAATAGATTATGAATAAATATTGAGATAGTATGGACACAAAATAAGAGCTACTTCACATATAAAATGCCTAAAGCTGATGAAATATAGCGTGCATAACAAAAATTAAATACAAATTTTCATTTATTAATCAACAACTCTTACTCATAAATACTAGGATGAAACATGAAAAATAAAGAAACTATATATTATGAAAATCTTGTGCTTAACTTATTGAACACACTTGTTTACAGTGGATGCATCAAATTTTGAGATGGAGTTTATGAAGAAGCGGTACGTAAGGGGTGGAGATCAAGTAAAGATCACTCTACCTTCTAGCAGATATTCCATTTTCCTCAGTCATGTCAAAATCCTTTGCATTAATTCCTTGAGGAAGTTTCCAATCAAAGTTGTAAAGTAAATGGGCTAAGGGTAGAGTAAGAAGAGCTAAACAAAATAGTATACCTAGACAAATTCGTCTTCCTCCGCCAAATGGGAGAAATTGGAAGTGATTGCAAGTAAATTCAATACAATTGTTTTCAAATCCCTCTGGTATAAAAAATTCAGGATTTTCCCAACTCTCAGGATATCTTCCAATTGCCCATACATTAACCAAAACTTTGCTTTTTAACGAAATAGTTAATCCATTTATATTTGTTTCCTCCCTGCATTCTCATGGGACTAACAAAGAAGTATGAGGGTGTAACCTGAGTGTCTTTTTGATGACTAACTTACTGTAAGTAAGCTTTTTGTTAGAATATATGCGTCCACTATCAGTCAATGGACCAGGTCCCTTGACACACAAACAAAAATATAACAAAAAGTAAATGCAGTTTAACAACACAGGAATTTTACGTGGAAACCTCCTTGTTTAAGGGAGTAAAACCACGACCTGCCTAACATGATTTACACAACTGTTTCACAAATCATTGCAAGCAAAAGTAAAACAAGTTACACAAATGTGAGAAAAAGTTTTTAATCTCACGATCAAACAACAACCCTATTGCTTAATAAGCCTTAGTAGAAGTTATTCTACCCACTAAGCTACCACTCTAGAAAACTTAGAATTTCAACACGCACCACACTGATTCCTTTATAGATTTAGGAATAGTTTACAATGTAAGACCAAAGGAATGTATTCTCAAATAGCTACACAATATGTGCCTGTGTTTTTTGTTGTTATAGAATAATTCTTCACTTTGATTTCCTATAGCCTTTGCAAGAGTTCTTGAGAGTGATTTTTCAAGTTGAAAAATCTAAAGAATAATGTTAATAAAAGTGACATTGTATAGACAAGTCCCTTTCCTTAAACTCATGCCATTGGTTGGAAAGGTCTGAATTTTCTGACGCCCTTGGGAAATGTGCACCCACTTTCTGTATCTTCTCCAGCTCGCAGTCAACGAGCTATTCATGTTAAGAACCTGGTACCTTCACAAGGTCCCTGAGTTTGTTGCATCATCAAAACTACAAATAACATTTTCCCCCTTTTTGATGATGACAAACAATACTCAAGACACCACTCAAGTTCATAACAAGTTCCCCCTGAATTACTTGTCCACCCTCCTGACATAAGATATATTACACAAAATTTCCCCCCTCACTGTATTCACTCTCACAAGTATGTCCAACTATAACTTATCAATTAAAATTCTACATTTTGGCATCATAAAAAAGCGATACAGTAAACGAATAGTATCAATAATAATATCAGAGAAGATCAGAGCCTTATAGCAATCAAACACAAAGGAAAGCATTCACAAGAGATAGTAGATAGAACACCACGGGAATAATATAAATAGCATATCATGATAAACATTTAATACATTAACAGAAAACCGAGAATACAAGGACAAAAATACAAGCCACACAAGAAAGACACAGAAAAAGATTGGAACAGACTAAGAAGGGAGAGGCTGATGAGAAAGGGACCTAATAATGAGAGTGAGTCTATAATTTGAAGCATCATTATCCTTTATTGCTTTTTCTTGCAAAGCAATAACCTTGGCCCTCAGCTCTGCATTTTCCCTTTCCAGGGCTTGAACCATAGTTGTACCAGGTCCCTCTGTCTGTGTAGTGAGCAGCTCAGCTTTGAGAATTGCAGTTTCAGCATCCTTTCCACTCAGTCGCATAGTTAATTCGTCAACTTCATGATTGAGTTGGTCCTGGTATTCTATGAGTTGTGCCATTTTGCTCTTGGGATTTCCTTTCCCTTCAATGCACTCACATTCAACCAGAGTATTTTCTGAAAAATCTTGTTTCACTATACCAACCTTGCCAACACAAAGTGGAATGTTAAAGTATTTGAATACTTCAGTGAGAAAGTATCCATATCCCATTCCATGTATTCCTCTCCGCTCAATGCTAGTCTTGTACATATGTTCACCATGATTCATTGAAGATTAAGAGGTTCAAATTTGCACCACAACTCCATCACATACAAATCAGCTGAAGTAGCTGAGGTCCTCTTTCTAGATCGAGGAAGTAGAGTTTTGTTGAAAAACTCAAAGACTAATTGAAACTAACTTTTCATCACCTTCTTAAACACCCCTGCCCACTTTGTTGTGGGAAGCTTCGAGACCAATGCTACAAAGTCAACTGAACATGTTTTCCCAATCATAGACCTGGTACCATCTCGGGGTACCCTAAGAATTTTCCCCAACAGATATTCATCCAGATGAACTGCAATATCATTCACACTGGTATGGACACTTCCATCATCCTGAAATTGGTTTTAGTAAATTTCATGCACTACCTGTTCATGAAGAATGGGAGATTGTTTGTTGAAGAGATGCATCCATGATTGAATATCCACCATGTCATGAAGTGAGTACATTCCAGGAAGGTTGATTATTGCCATGTAAAAAATCCTCCTAGCCAGTACAGACTGCTTTCTCAAATTGTCAACAACTTCTTGTGTGTTGACCTCCTCTTCAATATTTCTTTGGGTACCAGGTCCCTATGACCTTTTCCTTTTTTCCTTTAGAACTCTTCTTTGTAGATTTCGTTTTCTCAACCTTTTTGGTATGTCTTGATTTTGTCTTTCCTTATTTATTTCTCTTGTGCCCCTTGTCTGTCTCTTAAGCACACACCTCTATGACATCAGACTCGGGCATTTTAAAATTTGACACTTTGAATGTTCTAGCACTCCTGATTTCTGTTGTAGACCTTGCACTGGCTTTCAAAGCATTAGCCATAAACATTTTGGCATCAGATCTAGTGGTAGGTCTCTTGCTAAGTACTTTTTTCACCACTTTTTCTTTTATCTTTTTTGATACACTTACATCTCTCCTTTCAACCTTCTACTTAATAGATTCATTATCACTGGCTGAATCACAGGAGTAGGAAGATGGATACCTCCCAAACTCTGGAGTTTTATCAAAAACAGGTTGAGTCTCTCTGATCTTTTCACCTTAAATAGGTTCATTTTGTTTGACCCTAACTTCCTTTGCCATCAAAGCAAGACTCTCAATCACCAGCTCTTCACTTGCAGCAAGAATGTTTGACTCAGAGGATTTGTACCTTGGAAAATCTCCTTCAAACAAAGCATCTGAAAGCATTTCATGATGAGGACCAGGTCCAGTAGGAACACTTGAGCTGTTCAGATCTAAGGAGTGAATCGGATTTTCGGGAACATGTTGGGAAGAACTTGACGGAATATTAGACCTAGACCCTACTAATGAAGGAGAATGGAAAGCAATAGGTTCAATCTCACTAAGGGTTGTAAGCATTTTCTTAGAGGCAGATGAAGGATCAGACATTTTGTCAAGAAGAAGGAAGTAGTAATAGTTTTGAAGAAAAAGAAAAAGAGATAAAAACATATTTAGTATTTTCTCTTCTCCCCTTTTCTTTTATAGTGAAGGAATATTGCAAAACGGATTAAGAATTAAAAAGGAAAGAAGAAGAGTTTAAAAAGAATTGAACCGGTGTCGGGTCCCTTGATTTTATCCGTCGCTTGAAAAGTAAGCGATGGGAATAACGCTCGGAATGATCGATGACTGACACTTGTCTTTATCAGCGGTCATTTTTTCATTTTATTCTCAGTTTAAAATTAATGTACAAATGCTAACCTCGATTGGAACCAGGTCCCATAACACAGCTTTATCATCATTCCTCAACTTTTCTAGCCATGTCTTCGCTTTGCTAGTCCTTCCTTAATGTATACATACAATAGGTACCAAAAATGATCTAACTCATATAATATATTATTGACACAAAGGATACCTGCACTGCAAGTTTAGCCGTCAAAGGAATTCAACTATTGAATATTTGAAAATCAGTGCAAAGTCATCATGCCCAACTTCAACCTATTACTCTCAAATTGATCTTTGCTAAGAGCCTTGGTGAAGATATCTGCAATTTGTTCCTTCGTCGGACAATATGTAAGAAAAACATTTCCCTTTTCAACATTGTCTCTCAGAAAACATTGTCTAACATCAATGTGCTTGGTTCTCTTGTGTTGAACTAGATTCTTTCCCATAGTAACTGCACTATTATTGTTGCACATAAGGGGAATAGCCTTGATGATTACACCAAAATCCTCTAAATGTTGCTTGATCCATAACAATTGTGAACAACATGCAACAGCTGCTACATATTAAGCTTCAGCTGTTGAAAGAGCTACAAAATTCTGTTTCATAGTTCCCCAAGTATTAAGTGAAGATCCAAGGAAATGGGCTATTCAAGAAGTACTCTTTCTGTTAACTTGATAACCAGCAAAATCAGCATCTACAAAATCAACAAGATAAAAGGTGTCACTTGCTGGATAAAAAATGACCAGGTCCCCTATCTTTTTCAAATATCTTAGAATATGTTTTGCAGCATTCAAATGTGAATCACGAGGACATGCTTGGAATCTAGCACACATTCCAATACCATATAAAAAATCAGGATTGCTAGCACTCAGATACAACAAGGATCCAATGATTCCCCTATACGTGGTTTGATTCACAAGAGAGTAAGATTTATCTGGTTTAAGCTTGGAGTTTGTTCCCATAGGAGTATCAATAGGTTTAGAATCAAACATATTGAATTTCTTCAACAGCTCCTTAATGTACTTATCCTGACTGATTGAGATTCTAATTGATGATTTCTTGATTTGTAGCCCCAGAAAGAAGGTCAATTCACCCATCATGATAATCTCAAACTCCTTTCCCATTAATGATGAAAATTTTTCACACTAATGCTCTATGTAGCTCCAAAAATTATGTCATCCACATATACCTAAATAATAAGCAATTATTGTTCTATTTTTAATAAGAACAAGGTATTGTCTATTTTCCCTCTTTTGAACATATTTTCAAAAAAAACTTTGACAATCTTTCATACCAAGCTCTGGGGGCTTATTTTAAACAATAAAAAGCCTTATTCAATTTAAACACATGATCTGGTAACTCAGCATCCTCAAACCTAGGAGGTTGTTTAACAAACACATCCTCTTTTAAGTCTCGATTTAGAAAAGCACTCTTGACATCCATTTGATACAACTTGAATCCCATGAAAGATGCAAAAGCTATTAAAATTTTGATAGCCTCAATCCTTGCAACAAGAGCAAAAGTTTCATCATTGTCTATTCCTTCCTCCTGATTGTATCCTTCAACAACTATTCTAGATTTGTTTCTAGTAATCACACCATTTTCAACAAGCTTGTTTCTGAAAAACCATCTGGTTCCTATCACTGTTCTGCCAACAGGTCGAGGAACCAGGTACCACACCTTACTTATTTCAAACTGATGAATTTCTTCTTGCATTGAATTTATCCAATTTGCATCACCTAATGCCTGTTTCACATTCTTAGGCTCAATAGATGATATAAACACTGATAATGCAAATAGATTCCTTGTTTTTTATTTTTTATCTAGTGTGAATTCCCAGATTCAAGGGTGAGATAAGATTATCAAGTAGATGTGATGAACTATGTTTCCATTCTAGTCTCAAAGTCAACTGCTTCAGCTGATCAGTATGATCTTCTTCTTCAAGGAACTCACAATTTTCTAGAGAGTTTGAGTATTCAGCCTGCAATTCAGAATGGTACTAGGTCCCTCTTCACATTTTTCAACTTCATCAGCCTTTTCAGATAGACTATGATTATCATTATTATTTTCATTCCTCAACTGATCATTTGCACCAGCTTCACTTCCTTCAATTTTCTGTGAATTAAACAGCTTAATCAACTCATCTTCATCATTTGATTCATCACTTTTCAAACTTCCATTTTCATCAAACACAACATGAATACTTTCTTCAGTACATTGAGTTCTTTTGTTGAAAACTCTGTATGCTTTACTTGAGGAAGAGTATCCAACAAACACTCATTCATCACTTCTAGGATCAAATTTTTTCTAGATCATCTTTTCCACTGTTCAACAAAATATTTACAACCTAATGCCCAAAGATAACTCAACATACGTTTTCTGTTGTTGATCAACTCATAGGGAGTCTTATTCAATAACGACCTTATCATACATCTTTTAGTAACATGACATGCCGTGTTGACTGCTTCAGCCCAGAAACTTTGAGGAAGATTTGACTCAATAATCATGGTCCTTATAATGTTTACCCAGATTCTGTTTTTCCTTTCCACTACTCCATTTTGTTGAGGAGTTCTTGGAGCAGAAAAAATAGTGACTAATACCATTTTCAATGCAGAATTGATCAATTATTGAATTTTCAAACTCAGTTCCTTGATCAGACCTAATTCCAGCAATCACTTGATTCAACTTTGTTTGAATAATTTTGAAAAACTGTAACAACTCTTCAGGTGTTTCTACTTTTGATCTTAGGAATCTTTTCCTTGTGTACCTTAAGTAGTCATCAACTATCACAAGAATGTATTTCTTTCCATTTCTACTTTGAACCTTCAAAGGTCCACATAAATCCATGTGTATCGGCTCCAATACTCTTCATTATGTCACTTGCTACTATGACTTGAAGGATGATCTGATTTGTTTTCCTTTAATACAAACTTCACAAATTTTGTTTACACAAAATTTTAACTTTGGCAAACCTAGGACCAGGTCCCTAGAAATCACTTTATTCAATAAATATGAGCTCACATGCCCTAGTCTTCGATGCCACAGATCATCATTTTCATTTTGAGCACTAAGATATGTCATATCATCTCCATGAGACGTTTCTAAGTTAGCCACATACATCTTTTTACTTCTAAAGGCACTAATAATCACTTTCTTTGTAGTTAGATTAACTACAGTGCACTTCTCAGAAGTAAACTTCACTTCATTTCCCTTATCACAAATTTGAGATACAATCAAAAGAGTATACTTCAATCCACTTACATGGTACACATTTTGAATTGATTCTCCATGTGATTTTCCCACTTTACCAACTCCCAAAATACCCCTTCTTTCCGTCACAAAAAGAGACACCTCCTCCCTGAAGTGTCTTGAGTGAGGGAAAATTTTTGATATCACCAATCATATGTTTTGAGCATCCACTGTCCATATACCAATATTGATTGTTGATCCTCTCACTCATCTGCAACAAGACTTACTTGTTAGGCTTGGGAATCCATTTCAATTAAAGTTCCAAGAAAGCAGGCAAGGGAGTAATCAGATTGTTTCTAGTCCAATAGGGTAGTTTTGGATTGTGTTTGACAAATGATTTTGGAGCAGAATCAGATCATTTCTCTGAAAACCTTTTAGTTGAGAATTGTTTTGTGGGACCAGGTCTCTCTTTTGATAATCTTTCTTTCTCTGTATACTTAGAGAGTCTTTCATGTGACTTTCTCCAGGAAGTAGACTCTACTGTTAAGTGCCTATTTTTACCACAATGAAGGCAAAGCAAATTGTTAGACACAAAAACATATTTGCTAGTGAGTATTAAAAGGAGTAGTAATATTCATACTTCTTAGAACCTTCTTATTGAAATTACTCTGATTAGTTACATTAGACAGAAACTTAGAAGATTTTTTCCACTTAAGAGATTGTTCAAGTTCATCTTTAAGTTTGACAATATCTCTTTCTAAGTTGTTGCTCTTCTCCAAAGCCAATCCAAGATTAGTCTCAGAGGTTTTCAGTTGTAAACCATTAGACATGCCCATTTGCTTTTCAGCTTCTTCATTTATCAGATGCAATTATTTTTTAAGTTCTGCCTTGTCAGATTCAAGAGTAGCCATTTTATCTTCCATTTTCAGAATTTTCTCATCTCTATTTTCATTTAAACTTTCAAGCTCAGCATTCATAATATCCCTTTCTGAGGTTAACCCAATCACTGAATCAATCATAACATTTGTTTATGTTCTCAATTATTTAAAAGAATAAGTATTCAGATCACGGTCCATATCAAGAAGAGTTACCTTGTACTCCTTTTATTTATTTTCTAAATGACCCATAAAAGCAAACATCGCATTGAATAAGGTTTCCTCTTCATGAACCACCACCATTGACAAATCATTTGGTTCATCAGGATCTGCGGAGTCACTTGAAGAGTCTCCCCGTGCAGCAAGAGCCTTTTTGACCACATAATCAGCAACAACTTTTTGATCATTTTTATTAAGTAGCAGGTCCCTTCTATTCTCTTTATCACTTTTTGATTTTTGATATTGTTTGTTTTCAGCTTTGAGTAATGGACAATCTCTTTTAAAGTGCCCAATTTTTCCACACTTATAACATGTATCATTTTGAGTGGCAGTTCGAGGAACATTTGCTCCCTTTTTAAAACCTTTGTTTTTTCTCACAATCTTCTGAAATCTATTGATGAGATAAGACATATCATCATCACTGGAGTCCTCTTCAGATTTGTA